GTTACACATATATGTTTATAATTGTTATCACTTCCTGGCAAATCATTCCTGTAACCACTATATAGTGACCTTCTTTACATCTTTTGATCAGTTATGGCTTAAAGTCCACTTTGAAAATATAGTAGCTACTCCTGCTTGTTTTCAGGTTCTTGCTACAGGTAATATTTTTTTCCATCCTTTGACTTTGTGTGTGGGGGGGGGTTAAAAGTGTTTCTTTTATACAGTGTACTGTTGGGTTTTGGTTTTGATCCATTCTGCCAATCTGTGTCTTTTGATTGGGGAATTAAGACCATTCACATTGAGAGTTATTACTAAAAGGTATTGATTAATTCCTGTCATTGCATTTGCCGCTTGCTGACTCCCTTTTTTCCCCCTTCTGCTAAATCCTCACCCTTTCTGCTGTATTCATTCTATTAGATTTTTTGGCATTTTGGGCTTCATTGTCTCTTTTTAAGATATGCTTGAGAATTTTTTGGAGTCCTGCTTTCGTAGTCATGAATTTTTAAAGTGTTCTTTGTCATGGAAAGGCCTGTTTCTCCATCAATTTTGAAAAATAGTTTTGCAGGATATATCTGTCTGGGTTGGAAATTATTTTCTTTTAGGACTTGAAACTCTTCACTCCATGTTCTCCTGGCCTTTAAGGTTTGTGTTGAGAAGTCTATTATTCTAATGGATTTACCTTTGTAAGTGATCTCTTGCTTTTCCCTAACAGCTTTTAAGATTCTGCCCTTGGGTTGGACATGACTACCCAGTGTTTCCCAAACATGCTACTTTTTAAACCTTCACATGAGCTTTTTTGGAATGTATTTTCTGTCAATTTTTGCTTATCCAGATCTCTTTATTATCTTCATCTCACTTCTGTTTTTCATGAGCATCCCAGTCTCTAGTGCACTTTATTGCTTTGTAGTTTTTTCTCACTGTTTTATATGCAAATTGTTGTATGTATGCTAAATCAGACTATAATTCTCTTGAGGATAGTTTTATGGTTCATCTGTGTTTCCCAGCACATCAATAAATATTTATTGAATGAATACGTGATATGAAAAAATTAAATTGGGAATCAATTCTTCAATGCTAGTTAAATTCAAGTCAATAGGTTATATATTCAACATTTAGACTCTTACTAAGCAGTGCCTATTTTTAAGGAAGTTTTGGTTTACATCTTCCCCCTTTTTTGGTCAAATCTACTGTAGGTGAAACATTTGTAGATTAGCTGGTTCCCCTTCATTCCTTCTCTTTTGAAATGTGTGGTAAAGTAAAAATGCCTAGAGCAATAATTTGTGGATAAAAACAGCTGCACAGGAAAAATAATTGATGTGGTTTAAAAATTACTCTGAGGTGGAAGGCCTTTGTTAACCTATTCTCTAAAAAAGAGTGCTAAAGCTAATTCCTTATAAATCGCAGAATAGAAGCCAAGCAGGACAACACACAGTTTAGGATAGTTGGTAGATTTTTAAACTAGTAGAGCTTTAAATTTTGGATAGAAATTAGAAAATATTCAATTTGCTCATAAAACATAGCTGAAATTAAAGAAAAGTCTTACCTATATCCTTAGTAGTGTGAGTTTAATGTTTTGGATAATTATAAATAAGAAAGCTGGTTACTCTGGCTTCTTTATAAGTTAATCTTCTTTTAATGCCTTTGTAGTTTTAGTTCTTTCTCTTATGCCTCTGAAACTTTCCTGGAAGTGGCCCAAATGGCAAAGTTTCTTTATTGTATTTCCCAAGGTGCTGTTATCACTGCCACGCTGATGACACACCTGGTGTGCAAGTACACAGATGATGCCAGACCCTGGGATAAGATTGGGAGACTCAACAAAGGGTCATTGTATCACAACACAGACAGTGTGTGGTTGGATTTTCATTCTTATGTAAATCTACACAGACTCATTCTTTCTCCTCGCCTTCTGCTCCTATCTCCCCCATCCCTTCCTCCTGTTCTGTTTCCTCTCCTCCTGCTCCTTCTTCTCTTCCTCCTTTTCTTCCCTCCTTCTCTTTTCTTCCTTTTCTTTTCTGTTTTCTTTTTCAGCCCAGAGATCTTTTGTTTTAATTTTGTCTCTACACCTGTTATACCATGGATTAGTAGGAAATAGCTTCCAGCAGCTCAGGCTCCTTTGCTTTGGTTCTCACTGTGCTTTTGTGGGTGGAGCAAATTGGCTTTTAAAAAAACTAGCATCTTTCCCTCTCATTTCCTTCTTTTTCTGATCATTTTCCTTCACAAGTTTCAGGAAGCTGTCTTGGCTCTTAGAATGCTTCATGTACTCATTGAGCACTTCATTCTCTAGGCAAGAACATCTCTTAACTTGTTTATGGCAAAGCCAGCAGTCTGCAAGTAACGCTGCAGATTCCTCCAGTTTTGCCACAGGGACACTGGGGAGCATTCCTTCCTGAACAGCACCCTTAATTAAATTCCCTTAATGTCTGCAGCATCACCTATCTCCTGTAGATTCACAAGTACAAGGCCAAAGGAACAAGTCCATGTTTTCTAAAATGCATGGAAGCAGTCATCTTGCTGTTGCCCCTGACTAGAGTCTCCGGTTGGGGTCACAGGGACCATTTCCTGGACCTTTGCTGACCATGCTGTCCCAGGTGGTACCTTCTGCTGCTGCAACACCGGCCTTCTGTCTGAAGAACGAAACCCTTCTAGGACCAGGGGCATGGCAGGGAGCAAGGATCTTTCACACAGGGCAGCCAAGACTTGCTTCTCTACCACCTCTTCCTGAACATGGTGGAAAGTTCATCTTGGGCTGATTCCTGAGTAATTCTTCCAGTTCTTTTATCCTAAAACTGGTGTAACAGGACCCAGGAACAGGTGTAACAGGAACTGGGCTTATCTTGTATTTTCTATCCAAAGAAATATATGTGATTACCCCAGAAACCATCTCTTCCATATCTGTAGTAGGGCTGATTGTCTATGTAATTAAAAAATATGGTACCTCTCGGGCCAGAGATTTATCTCAAAGGTTCTACTCCCTACTTTGCAGGTGCAAGGACCCGAGTTTGATTCCCAGTCCAAAAAAAATATAGTGCCTCTTTTGCAGAATTTGTTGATAAACTCAATGAGCAAAAAATTGCCCAACTAGAAGAGGCAAAGCAAGCTTCCATGAAACAAATCCAGGATGCAATTGATTTGGAGAAGTCACAGTAGGCACTTGTTCAGAAGCACCACTCCCTTTTTGATGTCCAGAGGAATAATATTGCTATGGCCTTGGAGGTAACTTACTGGGAACAGCTACATCGAGTATATAAGGGGGTAAAGAATCGCCTGGACTATGGAATCTCCGTGCAGAATATGATGCATCGAAAGGAACAAGAGCACGTGATAGACTGGGTGGAGAAGCAAGTGGTGCAAAGCATCTCTGCACAGCAGGGGAAGGGGACAACTGCCAAGAGGATAGCAGATCTAAGGCTGCTTGCAAAGAAGGCTCAAGCACAGCCCATTATGTAAATGTATCCACCCAACTGAGACAGCCAGAAACAGTTGACTAAATGGAAACTAGTCTATGTGACAAAAACTTCTCTATTGCTATCTACTAAAATTATAGTTTGCTTTTCCTAAAAAAGAAAAGCTTGGGGTTTCATTTAGTGAGAACTAAATGTATGGGCTAGTCAGATATTCTCATCATTACTCTGCATTCAGGTGTTCTGCGATAACTTTTCAATAAGGAATTTGTTTTATTAAAACTTATAGGGCCAGGGATTTAGCTCAGTGGTTCCGCCACCTGCCTCGCAAGTGCAAGGACCCAAGTTTGATCCCTGGTACAAAAAAAAACTTATTACATGACTAAATATTACCAAGTTATAGGTAAAATTTGTAATTAGTTCTATAATCTTGCAATAAAGGACAACAGAAATAAAATACATGGAAGACATCTACTGGATGCCTGTTTTCTTTCCTCTTGTGGTCATCGTTTTGGTGAATTACTGGAAGATGGCAGTTCCAGCCAAAACATGATCTGTCCTTTCTTATAAAAGTCCTTCCATTCTAAGTCACTTCTTCCTTTGTCCGAAATTCTTAGCTGTAGGAGATATGATTAACAGAATTCTAATTCCCTGGTTTTCTTTCTATAAAGTATGTCTGAGTAATAATGTTTTTAAAATACTTTTCTTTAAAAAGAAATTTAAGCAGGAAATAGAAAAGGTTTTAGTCATTATTTTCTAAACTACTGTATCTCTTAGCTAATTCACACAGGAAGCCTACAAATTAAACAGCATTACAACGTGATGAGTCACCAGCATGTTTCACTGCTTGATTTGAACCTGTTGTTAATTTCAATACTTCATAAACAGTAGCTAAGCATAAAGATTAAAAATACACACTTTAAAAAAAATCTTTAAATCCCGTGATTTATGATGTTTAACAGTATATGTATAAAAAGATTAAACTATTCTAAGTATGTATCACATCTGTTATAGTCTAATAGTTCACTTTGTTAGGAATTTTGCTACCAAATTATATAAAATTGTAATTTAAGCCTATGCCTGGATTTGGGGAGAAGAAACAGGGGAGGGCAATGAAAGGCAATAATGACCCTACGTATCTGAGGATTAAAACAGAATTAAAGAAAGAACTGTAATATATAAAATTAGACAGATAGGCTTTAAATTGCGGCATTTAGAATTGGTAAATTTGAATTTTTCTCTATAAACGTTTTACTGATAAGGCATGGTTCCTACAGCTTTATATATAAATGACTCATTTAATCCTCATAACAAATCTATGAGTACTGTTACTGTCTCAACTTCTAGGTGAGGAAACTGAGGCATACAGAAAGTAGCTAATTGGATGAAAGTTCCGGCTAGTGAGTGGGATTCTAACCTAAGGTTAGAATGACAGAATCTAGCCTCTTCTCCACCCTCGCAGCATGATCTATAATCTTGTGAATTAAGCCAATTAGAATGCCTGGTTAAAATAGCAAGCTATGGTAGGTTAGTATTCTACTATAACCTTAACAAAGAATATTCAAATAAGTTGTATAGAATTTCTAAAAATATAATTACCTTGCTAGAAATCATGTTCTCAGGCTGTAAAACTGAAGACAAGATTTCCGTGGTATTGAAATTAGCTGAGAGGAGAAAGAGGGAGGAAGGGAGGGGGAGGAGGAGGAGGAGGAGGAGGAGGAGGAGGACGAGAGGAGTGGAGAGGAGAGGAGAGATATTCTGTTGCACCTGGTAGGAAAAAGATAAATAATAATTAACTTTTATTAAATTCTTACTATGTGCCAAGCATTATTCTAAATGCTTTAATTAATGTTATTTGATCTTACCACAACCTGATAAGATACCTGTTATTATTTCCTTTTTATGAGTGAGGTTAAGTAGGAGGTAACATACTCACCCTGCCCTCTCTCACCTCTATTATTTATTCCTGGAGATTTCTACATCTTTGCTGTTTTCTTGCTTTACACTGGTGTATGATGTATTAACTTTTACGTGTCTTTTTCTCTTAAAGAAGGTTACAGTCTGATTTAGGACCAACTGCTGCTTCATGACAGAATTAAAAAAAAAAACAAACTTTAAAGTCTTTTTTTCTACCTACCATGTAACAATTCCATAATCTAGTTTAGTATAAACGTAAAGACCAGTAATTCTGGAGCCCAGTGTCTCAATCCTGACCCATCTCTTTCAGTCTATTCCTGATGCTATAACAAAGAAGCTTAGACGGGGCCAGGGATTTAGCTCAGTGGTTCCACCATGTGCCTCACAACCGCAAGGTCCCGAGTTCAATCCCCAGTACCAAAAAAAAAAATAGCTTAGACTGGGTAATGATAAACCACAGAGATTTATTTCTCATGCTTCTGGAAGCTGGGGACTCCAAGATCAAGACACCAGCAGGTTCAATGTCTAGTGAGTCAATGTCTTGGTCTCCATTTCAGAGATTGCTCCTTCTCACAGTGATCTAACCTGAGGCAATTTAACCATCTCCCGGAGCCCTCTCCTCTTACTAGCACCAACTTAGAGGTTGAGTTTCAACAGAAGAATTTTGGAAGGGCACACTCAGACTATAATGGGATCCTAAGTGATCTTGTGCTGGTCACTTAACTTCCAAAGACAGTGCTGTTGAATGGATTACAGGAAAACATCCCTAGCTTGTTCCTATTTTTGAGGTACCAGTATGAGAAGGCGACAGAGTTGGAGAGAACTTAGTGTAAGAGGGAATGGAAGACAGGAGATTATAAGAGTATTTTTAAATGTTTCCTCCTATCCTCATTCAACATTTTCCATTACCTATTTGATGGTTTCTACTTGTTTAATGATGAAGTCTATGTGATGTCTGTCAGTTTCTTCTCAGTCATGGGGGAATTTTTTAGAAGCAGTGTGCTTGCATGAGAACTGACCTACCAGGCCCACCTATGCTGCCATGGTGAGATCACTTTGTGCAGCCCTTGCTCTTGGTATGCCTGCCATCTTCCCGATGTGTCACCAATGCTGTCGTGAACCACACCCACAGAAACAACTCAGAAACAGATTTTCATTCACCACATATGATGCTGGGGAATTGCGATATTTTTAACTAAGCCACATAGCTATCTGATTGATCATTCTCCCTCCACCTGCAACAAATAAGTTCTCAACCAGTGCCTGACATCAGTGCTGGAAGGATGAATTAAGCACCGTTGCTGGCCTTGGTTACTTTCTAGTAGTAGCAAACTTCATATCCCTTTTGCATTCATTGCCTATACCAAGGGGTTTTATTTTTTTACATAAAGTTGTTTGACAACTCTTGACGGTCACAACTTACATATGTAATGCGTGTGTGTGTGTGTGTTTGTAACTTCAAGCTTTAGATGTGTGGCTACAAAGATGAATTGGCTATAGTCTTTGCCCCTTTTAGTATATAATGTAAGGCCTGCTTTTATAAAGAGATCATTACAGTTTCAATTAGCTAGAGTTAATTTTGACCTTGCTTCCGCATAAGATGAAAGACTAAAAGTTGTAATATAATCCAAAATTTGGTATCATTGTAAGTTTGGCTTATATCATTAAGAGTAACACTTCCTAGTGATAAAGCAACAGCTATACTATATAATTCTCTCTCTCTCTCAAAAGAGTTTTTAAATGGCAAAAAATGCTACAATGCACTATAAACACGGAACTAAGCCAATCAAGTAGGATTCATGGATCTATCACTATTATTATCTGTAATGCCTTACCATTACCTCATCACAAGTATTACTACTACTAATCAGAATTATATTTTTTATGTTGATTTTCCTCCAAGGAGTTTTTGATTCTTTTCCCATATTTAACCTCACCCTAATTATGTTTCCATAAACAGAACTAAACGTTTAGTTAATTTCATAATACTAAGCCAAAAACATCAAATTGGTACTGATTTCTGATAGAAGGATATTGCCTACTAAACTTATATTGCAGTAACATGTCTCCCATACATGGTATTTTTCTGCTTGCAGTCAAGGGTATAAATCTTTTTAAAATATATTTATAACTATTTTTGGAGTCAGGCATTAACAGATTATCCCTACTTAGTTGAGAGAGATCCCGCAGGCCTATTAGACAAAAAAAAAAAAAACAAGAGAGAGAGAGAGAGAGACCTAGGCAGAAAAACCACATTTAGCTTTGTGGATTGTGTTCTGTACCATTCTAGGTTGTGCTGCTTACAGAATTCTCTCAGTAACAGCTAGTAATGGGTAAAAAAAAAAAATGTTTTTAAACATATTGCTCACCTTACAAGAAAATAATGAAAACCTCCAGTCCTTCAATATTGTAACTATTCAAAATGTACTAAATATTCTAGCCAATGAAACTAGAAAAGTCAATCAATATTATGAAGATGGGGGGGACAAACTGCACCTAACTGCACATAATATAGTTGTTTATGGAGAAGTATGATAAGAAATAAAAACTTAATAAAGTTGCTGAATATAAGATCAATATACAAAAACTACATTCCCAAGCATAAACAACAGAGTTAGAAAATTCTACTTTTAAAAATATACAGTGTATCATTAATAAATATAACCAAGAATACTCCTAAGAATAAATCCAATGAAAGATTACCAAGCTTTTTAATTGTAGAAAATTATAAAACTCTATTGAAATGTTTTAGGGAGGACCTAATTACATGGAGAATTATACCACGTTCATAAAAATGTAAACTCAATTCCCTAAAGATGTAAACATTTCTCAAATGAACTATAATTGAATCACAGTTCCTGTTCAATCCAATCCAACAGATGTAAGTGGAATAGAATTGAGTTGCTGGTATTTAAGGCAAATCTGTTATTCTTAGGGGAGCCTCAGATAGAAAAAGAAATTCCCTGTAAATTCTATTATCAAAGGGTGAATGCTCAGATATATATGCACCCAAAAAGCTATCTTATTGATTGAGAGCTGGAATATTTATGTCAATGTTAGAAAACTAAGAATGTGATTTCTTGGCAAAGGGATTGCTATCTCAGTTGCAAGATGACATTTTTCATCCATGACTCAGACAGAAGGGAAGCATGGCCTACCTGCCCAGTGCCTAATATGGACATAGACAAGGCTTCCAGATCTAAGAGGAGAATGTTTTAACAAGTGCACACTGCCACACATGAGAGCATCCAAAGCATCCAGAGGCATCTGAATGACTACACCTCACCCAAAGGCCACTTGTTAAACTATAACAGGCATGCCACCTGTTCCTTCAGAGGCCAATAAGTGATCTTTGAACAGGGCTCGAGTTAAAATGTAAACCTGTGCTCCGCGTTTTTGCATTGTTATAACTAAAGCACTTATAACAACTGACTTGAGATGAGTGTGTGGTCAGTGTTTGCTTCTAAGATTGGCTCAGTGTTTACATTTTAAAGGAAGAACACATTCGCTATGAAACAGTTTTTTCCAAATAGTCTGATTGCTTTTGAAGCAGCTCTTAAAACTGCAACACTATGTAATTAGCCAAACTCCCTGTACTATAGTTACCTTTTCAACTCTATCACCATTAAGTTTTTTTGGTATTTTACAGTGAAAAGAGAAAGAATTTAAAGCAAGAGATTATAAATGCTCTTTTTAAGGGTCACATTATTATTTGTGCATTATAAACTGTGAATTCTCAAAAGCAAAGATAAAGATAAAATCCTTGGTCAATACGCTTTTTTATTTTTTAGTAGGCAGGAAAGCATTGTATAGCATATGGAAAAAATCTCAAACTAGTGACATGATTCATATTTCCATTTAACACTTTCTTTGTGTTTCTGACTCTCTCACCCTGTTTTTCCTCTCACACATCCTCTTCATTGTTACAAGAGGTGATAGACATGAACTAAAAGCTTAATGGAAAGCACAGCAATCTGTTAAGTGTAATTTCACTTTTTATTTATATTTGTCTTCTACTGTCTTGATCATTAGTCACTAAAAGTGAGTATCATTTGAAAAGAGTGAAAATAGTAAAGCTGTAGATGACCTGAACAGATGAATCAACTTAGTCCAGTTGACATTTATAGAATACTCCATCCAACATCAGGATAATACACATTCTTCTCAAACTTGCCTGAAATATTCAAGTTAGACCCTACGCTTTGCCATAAAACACATTTACCACATTTAAAAGAGTGGAAACCATACAAAGTTTGTTCTCAGACCATAATGGAATCAAACCATAAATAAATACAAGATAGCTGGAGAATCTTCAAATATGTGAAAATTAAACAACATGCCTCCAGATAACCCATGGGCCAAAGAAGTCTCAAGAACAATTTGTTTTGAATTAAATAAAAATAGAAGTATAGCTATTAACATTTGTAGGATACAGCAAAAGTCGTGCTTAGAGGGAAATTTATAGCACCAAAGGCATATATTAGAGAGGAATGAAAGTTTAATATCCTTAGGAGATTATGCCTTAGAAGTTAGTGAAAGGGGGGAAATAAAACTGACAAGGACAGGAAATAATGTTCAGTTTCAGCTATAATCCAATCAATAAAATGGGAATAAAACTGATCACTTCACAAGGTGAATTAGGAATTTTTTTTTTAGTATAATGCCTAACACTGATGTAAGGTGAAATAGGCAGCATGTGTCAGTGGTAGTTATACAAATGGACACAATATTCTTAAAGAAATTTGGCAATGTGGTCTAAATGTATCTTTCCTTTGACCTGATATTTCTATTTCAGTGGGTTAGAAGAAAATAATACCACAGTAAAAATATTTAATTTGCAGAGGTAACTATAAAAGTATTCTTTATAATACTGAAAAATAACCCAAGTATCCAAATAAGTGTGACATTAAATAGAACAAGGTCTATATACTCATTGAAATAGTCGATGGCCATGAAAATTGAGGTCTTGAGAGAATTTCTAATACCAGTAAATGAAAGAGTATAAAACAGAAATTTTATGGGTATATATATATATATATATATATATGAATATATTTTTTTCCTCAGAAGGAAATCTACAAAGTGAAAACTGGTTTCTCCTGATAATGGGCTGTCCCTTCTTACTGTTCTTCTGTATTTCTTCAAAACCCACTGTGAACATAATGTTTTGCTCATGGGCTTTGGGGTCTGAGATGTGGGTTATGGGCCCAGCTCTACCCCTTAGTAGTAGTGTGAGTCTCCATTCTCATCTGTAAAATAAGTATGATGACTGAAGGTCTTTCACTAGGGTGACTGTGAAGGCTGAAGGTGACCGTGACAGTGTTTAGCACAGGGCCTGCTGTATAGTGGGTCCCCAGTGAGTGTTGGCTGTTGGTATTGGTTATAACACGGGAAGTTCTGTCAAGAACTTCAAGGGAAGCTTATAGAACAAGTTTATCCAGATTTGCATGGGGCTTATTTCTACATAGGACTCTATTTACTTAACCCTTTGAGGAAACTGAAGACATCTGTTTACTGATTGCAGGGTATTTTGTGTCCACAAAGGGGCAATTAAATTTTATACATGTATAAAGTACACAGTGGGAGACTACAGGTATGTTTGACTCTGTGTATTTAAAAGTGCTATACCCAAGACAACACAAGAGAGACTAAGATAAAAATTCACATTACTGACTTTAGCTACTTATTACCTTAAGTCTGCAGGTCTTGATTTTTTTTTTTTTTTAGGGCAAAAGATAGGAATCTGTACCCTCCTCAGCCTGTTGAGTGGGCACAAAGCCAGAGAGTACGGTGGTCCACGGAGCAAAATCCAACAAGGTCATCGGTAGACTGAGAAAGCCCTGTTGCATCAAGATATTTGTCAATGTAAAATGTAATGGTAGTTAAAATGCATTAATACAACTCTATGATTTCATTACCAAAACCAGAGTTCTGTCCACAATAGAAATAGCATGCATTCTATCAGTAATCATTTTAAAAGAAGATTCCTTCTTTCTTACTTGCAATAAAACTTACATTCATTCAGGCATTTCTGGAGGACAGCAGAGAGTGGGTGGATGATACACTTTTGCTTTCTGATGAAGGCATCGTCTATAGTTGTATTAGAGGAACTAACTATGTGCATGGAAAAGTGCTTGGATTGGATAGCAACTAACATTTTTATTTTAACTTTGGCTTTAGAGTTTCAGTTCCTCAAATTTAGTATTTGTGTGAGTAAATAGCATTTATAAGGAAAGAAAGTCTAAAGTACAATTTATGAAGTGTTATTTTAGAGTGTGCGTAAACATAAGGGAACTTACTGGAACCTTGAGTGGCTACCCATGTCTCTCAGAACTTATTTCCAGGTGTCTGAAATGTATTGAGCTGTGAGGATAGCAATGGTTAAACATCACTTAGGGAGGTTCTTCTGATGTTCCTGGGGACAGAATTTCTCTCTACAGTGAGTTCCATTATGGTGAATTTAGAGTCAAAGCAAATTGTGTTTTAGACTTGCCCTTTCAATTTGCTTTGCAATCTTGTGAGATTTGAAACACGAATTTTCAGAAAAGGGCTCATGTTTGGAACTGAAGCACAAGTTTAGAATTAGAAAATATCCAGGGTAATTAGGACCTAGAAGTAAAACCAAGCGAGAAGCATATCTAGCTTCTTTCATAGCTTGAACACACTGTACTAGGTCATATATCTTGAAGTCCTGCTCACAAGCAACATTTTTTAACAAAAATTTTTTAATCAAATTGCTGTTGTAGGAGATTGTGGGCTTTTTAATGTTGGTTTTCTAATTTAGGGGCAATAGTTCTTTAGCTTTTAGCTAAGGAGACAGAAAAAAATAGTAGAACCTTTGTGCTTTTAATTGTTAGATAAGAGTACTAGACACAGAGAAAGCTAAACCTACAATCGCAACTCTGTCACTACTCATAACTAGCTAAATAACCTTGACTAGGCTGGGGTTTTACAATAATAAGTTTTAAGTGCATCATCTTAATGAACCTCAATTTTCTCAGTCAGAAAAGAAGGTTGACTGACTTCCAAGGTCTTTTCCTCTGCTAATTCTTTTTTTTTTTTTTTTTGGCACCAGGGATCCAACTTGGGCTCGTGCAGCAAGCAGCGAAACCACTGAGCTAAATCCCCAGCCCTCCTCTGCTAATTCTTTATCATGAAATTATGACAAAGGTAAAGTTATAAGGTGATGGTGTTTGTAAAATGTCTGCTTCCCTTGGAGATTTCCTTTTTGCTATTGTTTCAACTCTATCTTTACATAAATGACTCCTACCCTGTCCCTGAGACTTGTCTGCTCTGTTAAGCACTAAAGGCAGGTTACTCTCTGCTGGACATGGCTGGCCAGCCAGCCTCCCTAAGCCGCCAGTCCAAGATGGAATCATCCAACAAAATTTCCTGATTTTCCAGTTCCTGAAAAAGATACTATCACTCCTCTCAACTAACCAGATTCAGGGCCACCAAATCACTCTTCATTTCTTCCTAGTCTTCTACTGACCCGAGTCCATTCAATTCCCTTTACCTTTCCTTCAATCCCCCTCCCTTTCTCTTTTCCTAATCATCTTAGAGCAGACCCCTTTACGGAGGAGTCTGTAGCCCGCCTTCCAGGTCCTCTCTGGAAATGTGCCACTTCTAGGTAATGATAGTTGTAATCATGTGACTTCCCAAGATTAACAGCCTTTAACTCCTTGACCCTATCTCCTTTTTTTTCCTATTTCCACTGATCCCCATGAATCTTCCTTTCCTAAGCCTCTACCCATTTCCCAAAGCCTTCTGTATAATCACACTGAGCACTTATATGACCTCCCCGAGCCTGGCTCACCCACACCCAGCACATATACACCTTCCCAATTGTCAGGATCCAGCTCAAGTCCACCTTCTCCCTGCAGGTCTTCTAACTTCCAGAGCTCAAGTATTGCACCTGCAGCTGATGGCCTACTTTATATGTCACTCTATAGGCACCGCTTTATGGGTTTTTACTATCCTGCCTTAAGTTGTTATATTTTGTAAAATGAAATGTAAAATTAACAACCACATATTGATACAATCTAGGAGCCAGACAAAAAGTCATCTCTAGTATTTGGATGTATTTCTTTCTATTTCTTTTTTCATATATATGTTTCCCATCATTATAGTGAAACTACCTATTTGATTTTGCTTCTTGATTTTTTTAAGCACTCAATTCACAAGGAAGAACTGTAACTGAGAATAATTAATAATGCAGGGGGTAGCATGGGAAGATGGAGGGGCAGCTAATCCTGTAGGAAGAGGAGCATGTAAGAAAGAAAGGTGTGACGTCAGTTATTGTCAGAACTGAATTTCAAACAGTGACCTGCCAGTGTCAGCTGGAAGGAGAAAAGAAGAGGCCGTCCACCTCAGATCCTGGAGGAAGCTCACTGTGGAGGGCCAGGAGCCCATGGCAAGGAACTAGTACCTCACAGAAAGTTTGGGCACCAAGCCAAGCAACGCAAACCCCATCTGCCAACACTGAGCCAAACACATTGGTGAAATTGCTCACTTTTGATGACAAATGTCACGTGATCAAATTTACAGTGAATGTTTGAATTTATTTTTTTCTAAATTCATTACAGTAAAAGACACACGGCCAGTAGTCCCCCTCAAGATATTCCTCCTCACGTTGAACATATTTGTCCCATTATTCTTGCACTTCCTGAAGCAGTTCTGGACACTGTCTTTCTTGAATATCTTTATGAGGTGTGATTTCTAAAAATGCAGTGAATGCTGCTGCCGAGTGCCATCCAATGGAAAGGCAGGCTGGCAAAAACATCAGAGTCTGTCTTTTTTGGGGGGGCGGGGTGTACCTGAGATCGAACTAAGGTCTGTCTTAATCCACCTTATTCACCAGATCTGGCACCAGGCAAATTCTAGTTTTAACCCAAAGTCAAAATGACTATGAAAGGTAAACACTTTGAGTCAATTCAAAGCTATGACAGTACAACTAAAGACACTCCTGAGAGAGGACTTCCAGAAGTGCTTCAGAAAGTGGTGAGAACAATAGGATAAATTCATTAAATCAAGGGAGAGCATTCTGAGGGAGAGTATTTTGAGAGGGATTATTGGTAATGTGCCTTTTACTGTAATACATTTTTAAAAATTTAAACATTCACTCTAATTTTTTACCATACCTCATACAGGGCTAGTTGTCTTCCCAATATCTAACCTCCCCCTTCCTAATACATCCCTAGCTTAGTTAAGAGTGGTAATGTAACGGGATGAAACAGTTAGCTCCCCAGTCTTCCTTGTGGTCCAGAGAAGTCATTTTTGGACAAGTAGGTGAGGCTGCTAGGAAAGCTACTTAAGAGTCAGTTGGCATATCTGTTTTCTCTCTTCATTTCTCTTGTCTAGAATAGGAACACAAATCCTAGAGGTAGAACAGTCATTTTAGTACCATGAGGAAGAAAATCACAGAAATCCTGACGGTTTCCTTGAACAGCTGCACTGGGTTAGACTGTATACCTCCTGACTTATTGTCATGAGGGGAAAAAAACCTCAATTTGGTTAAGCTACTGAACTGGGTTTCTGTTCATGCAACTGAATGAAATCCTATCAAATATAGTAGTATATCTATTCTTGGAGATTTACAATAAAAGCATATTAAAAATTCTGAGAAATCCTATTAACTTAAATCTAATATTAAAATTACTTTCACGACCAAATTCTTTTTTTTTTTTTTGTACCGGGATCGAACTCTGGTCCTTGAGCTTGCACAGCAGGCAGCGAAACCACTGAGCTAAATCCCCGCCCCCGTACTACCAAATTCTTTTTCCTCAGAACATGTAATATATCTCACTGAACATGAACATTCTGTAGAAGTTTAGAAAAGGATACCCTTTTTATGCTGATTCAGGATCAGAGAAGGGTATATCTGCCATCTTAACTTAGTCACTAATTCAAACCAGCTCTATACCCTTGACTACGCTGGGATCTATGGAATAACAAGTTTTAATTATAGAATCTCAATAAGCCTCCATTTTGTCCTGTCAGAAAATGAGTTTGGCTAAATAGCTTTTAGCATAACTTTTCCTATGCTGATGCTTTATCATGAAATTATAAATAATATAAAATTATAATATCGATGCTAAATGTCTGTAAAATAGTCTTATGTTCCTTGGAAATTTCATTGGAGAAGAACAGTTGTAACATTCTACTAAGGAAGAGAATGCAGAAAGGGGAACATATTAGGGGAGAAAGATGATGAGTCTAGTTTTGAACTTGAGATGAGCGTAGGTCAGGGTTGAATTGAGGTCTAGGAAGAGCTGTCCCGAGACAGCTGGATAAACAGCTCCAAAACTCGGCGGGAGACATGAAAGGAGCAAGGTAAGTGGTGGCTAAAGCCACGGACTCTATGGAGTCACTGTGCTTGTCAATGGGGAAAACATTCTGCTGCTCTTCCCAGTGAGGGGACTGGCAGTCTGGTTACAGACCCTTCCTCTAAATGGCCTTGGTACAGCACCATCCTCAAAAGAAAAAAATGGAAAGAACCCTCCACTTACAGTCAGACACACGAGAGCTCAAATCCTGATTTGTCCACTTCCTCCAGTCTGCAGTGCTGGCTCAGTCTCTCAAATTTCCTGAGCTCCGGGTCTCATCAGGAGCATGACAATCTGACCTTAGTCTCTGTGACAATGACATTTAATAGATTATTGCTGCACATCTGATGCTGATTCCTTTCTCCTTCCAGCTAGAGATATTTGTGACTTTGTATTTTCATCTCCTGTGCACGGTCTTTCACTAATGGAAAGCAGCATTTAAAATCAAGCCAGGCCAGCTAGCTTCTGTCTATGAAATAAATATCTACAAGATGTGATGGGAAAATACAGTGAATGTTAATTTAAATTTTAAAATCTATTACAGTAAAAGACTCATTACAGTTAACTCTCTTAAAACACTCCTGCTTGCTTCAAACACACTTATCCCATCATTCGTGATGCTTTCTAAAGCAGTTCTGGAAGTCCTTTTTCATGAGTGTCTTTAGTTGTGCAGTTGTAGCTGTCTTGATGTCCTAATCCATTCAAAATGTTTATGTTTCACGGTCATTCTGACTTTGGACAAGAGCCTGAAGGTGCATGGTCCCACATACAACTTCTGGTGAATAAGGTGGATGAGGACACACAGTAATGTTTTTCCAAGCCTGCTTATCATTAGATGGCAACAGCAGCAGCACTTATTGTATTTTTTTTATCACACCTCATAAAAACACTCACGAAAGAGGTCTTCCAGAACTTCTTCAGAAAGCAGCAAGAATGGTGGGATAAGAGTGTTCAAAGAAGGGATGGGGACTTGGCTTAGTGGCGCTGTGCCTGCCTGGCAAGCACAATTTCCTGAGTTGCTTCCTGGTACCGAAAAAAAAAAGAAGAGTGCTCCAAGAAAGGAGAATTATTTTGAGGTGTATTATTTTGAGGGAGATTAATGGCAATGTGTCTTTTACTGTAATAATTCTTTAAAAAATGCAAACATGCACCACATTTTTATCATACCTCATGTGTATAAATAATTAAACAATAGAATTTCAGGGCAGATCAAAAGAGATTCTATGTACATGATGGACTAATACTTTACTATTTTACGTATTTAACAAAACAATGTACTTTCAGCATGCCCTGCATTTTTCCAAGCACTTCATAAATAACTTATTTTATATTCACAATAACCTTACAAATTAGGCACTGCTATATTCCCAGTGGAAATGTGGAAAGGCTGTACAGAGAGGTTAAGTAACTCAGCCATTGTCACACCGCTAGAAACCTGCAGAGTCAGACCCCGTGATTCATGCTCTCAGCCTCATAGAAATAAAAGAGATCAGCCCGTCCTGTTTACTGTTCTTTCATCTTTGCAAGGCTTTTGGTGATTGTTGCTTTTCTCTATTTCCCAACACTGAAAAAAAATAGTAATTCATCTTTGCGCATCTTTTCGTCAGTGTCAGAAAGAGCAAAATGTGTAGAAAGTTTTAGCTAATGGCCATCTGGAGGGAACATGTTTACCAAGCATGCGACTTCGTGCTGTCAGTAGTAGCTATCCCTGCACCAATAGCAGAACCATTCTTGTTTGTTTAAATGTTCTAGGCTCTGGATAATCCGTTGGAACATGAGAACGCATGCGTGCATTTTTAAAGAAAAGAACTGCTTGCCTTCCTGGAAGAGCACATGTATTTTCAAAGGCCTCACTCCCTTCCTAGGAATGAGCAGCTGCAGCCAGGAAGCACATGAAATAAGCAACAGCACCACTGGCAGGAGGCTTAGATTAAAGCTTAAAAAAATTCCCAAGATGATATTCCTACGGGCCATTCAAAGGTCACAGGCCAGGTAGAAAACAAAATATTCTTTCAATGGAAACAGTTCTCCTCGTGGCCTTCCAGTTTGAAAGACAAACAGATTTATACTCATAGAAAATTGATGGATCGGCAATGATTTTTTTTTTTTTGATCTGCAAACCAAGGTCCTACCTCCAGTATGTGTTTCTGATTTAAATCCAGCACTTACATCTTTCCTATCATTTTCACTTTGTGTAAATAACCACAACTATTCCTGTTCCCTCCCACACATCAGGGCTGTGAGTATAAATGAGATAATGGTTTTGGTTCCCTGGAGGAAAGATACTAGGTACACTAAAAATATCACTATTTTCAAAGTCCTTCCTTTCCTTGGAAACGTATACTAATATCACAGGTGTACAGTGCTGTTGAAGAGTTAAATTTTCCATAGAAGTAATCATTTTTACTTCATTAAAGACTAAACTTTTTCTAAAAATAGTAACCATTTTTAAAATGTAACAATTTGAACTTGTTGGTTTGCTCTTTAAATTAATATTGAATGCTTACTACACCCAATGTATTTTAATGGAAATCTCTCCTCCGTATTTTATCTTTTTAAAATGACCTTTTTTTATTTTGGTACCAGGGATCGATCTCGGGTCCTTGCGCTTGCGCAGCAGGCGGCGAAACCACTGAGCTAAATCCCCGGGCCCTTAAAATGGCATCAATATATGTGAAAAGGATCTTAGCTGACTTCAAGTGCAAATCAGCCAACATTACAGAGCTGCTAATGCATGTTTAGGTTACAGAAATGCAAGCCCTACACCTAAGGAAGAGGACTATTAGTTTTGTTTTGTTCTACACTGATCAGACAAACTTGGATTTGAGTTCTAGGTGCACAGGCTGGAGCACACTGGTGTTTATCTGAAGAGGGGCAATTAAAACCGTGAGGGTTTGGATACCATCTTGTACGAGCGACGGAACAGAGAGGTGGGGACGAGGGCCATCAAAAGAGGGGTAAAACTCGACTTCAGATCTTCAGAATAAATTTTTCGGAACAGAAATTGGACTTACTCCATGAGCTTTGGGAGATTTGTTGTTGTTGTTCTGTCCATATCTGCTTTTTATAGTTTCCCCATTCTCCCTATTACTGGGTTACCTCCACTTGATCCTTGTCTTTAACAGAATCTGGCTCCATGCTAATTTGTTACTTCTAATATCCTGTGGCCCAGAAAAACATCAGAACCAAATATATTAAAACTGTATGAATACTTTAAGTGGAGTCCTGAAGGGTTCTCCTCTGAGTAAGTTTTTTTTTTTTTTTTTTTTTTTTTTTTTGGTACTGGGGATCAAACTCAGGTCCTTGAGCTTGAGTAAGTTTTCTTAATCCATTTCTTAAAATAAAATAGTTTTATCATAATTCACTCAAAAACATGTAATGAACATTACTGTATTTCTGGGAAATGTTTTCAGTGAAGAATAATGAGGAATATAAGAAAAACATAATGTTTCGTATAGACTGCTCTACCATTAAGTTACTGTCTTGGTAAAGGAAATACCGTAAGAACCCGGTACAGAGCCATCAAGGAAGTGTACTATCAGTGTAGGATTGGTGCAGATAAAAAGTTAATATTCTCTGTCTCTGCCGCCCCATTAGGTTAACATTTGTGGTAAGAGCTTTAGGTCGTTATAATTTCCTATCATTTATTTATTACAAAGAACAGTTAGGGAGATGTTTCCATGACTTCACTAGCAGCATATGTGTGAGAAATGAAGAAAGTCGTAATATTGCTAATAGTCGAACACTCAAAGGATTTGTCTTCTAAAGTGGATGATATACGAATCACTGTCTCCTACCGTTTGCCACTTCTCGGTGCTGGCCAGAAGAATAATTTTAATGTCTCCCAAGTGGATAATGCTGACCGCTACCCAGTTCCTCCTGGGAAACATACACTTCTTACACGTTCCCAGCTAGGTCATTATAAATTACGTGTATATTGCCCCAAACCTCTGAATTTTCCCCGTCTGAAACACATGCAACAACTGGATGCTATCCATAGAGTAGTTACTTTCCTGGAAAATATTCAAAGGTGCACAATGAATATGCTGCAATACAAAATCGCATGCAACTTAACTTTTGCCAATTTCCCTGGATGTGTAAGCAGAATCAAATTTTCACTGAATGCGCAGAAGTTCCAGACTCCAGTGCTATTTAATCTCCCTCCACACACAGCAGCCTGAGCAATCCTATCTACAATTAGCTGCTGCGGTTGGTACTAAATTGTTCGCCAAAAGTTATTTCACAACCTTTTTTCACAGTATATCATACTCTACAGAGTGAGACTGCGTGGAAGGACCCTGGGGCGCTGTTTGTTATCGCCCATCCCTAGACAAGGATGTTCTGCCCTTTTAGCACCCCGAGTTTGATTAGAGGACACCTTTTACAACAAAATGGGCACAGCCTCAGACCCCAGATCGTTCAGCCAGGATGCACCCGCACCCCCAAAGGGCGACAGAGAGCAGCTCACCTGGAGCCTGTAGTCTGCTCGGTTTGGGGGCCAGTTCCCTAGTCTGCATCGAGGATCTCGCGACTGGCAGAGAAGGGGCTGGGGAGGCAGGGCTGGTTTTGCCGGGAGACGTGGAAAGTAGGCGCTAGCCTGTTTCGCGGTTTTTTAAGCCCCTTGGCGTGCCCTGACCTGATCAACAGGGAGTCAACTGCTCTCAGGAATGTTCCTGGGAGAAGGTGGGAGACTACTTCCCACGGGAGGCCTGTGGGCCCTGCAGGGCACCGGGGGATCACGCGGGGAGATGCAGCGCGCTCGCGGGGAGGGGTTCGGGCAGCTGGGGGCGCGGGGACCAAGGGCGCGCCGGGGCGTGGGGGCCCCATCCCGGGGCGGGGTCGGGCGAGGGGGACCCGTCCTGAGGTGGGCTGGGAGCGGGAGGAACCCAGCCCGGGGCGTGGGGACCCACAGGGCGGAGGCGGGGCTTGCCCGGCTGTCAAGCGCGGGGGGCGGGCGGAGGAAGGGGTGGAGGTGCGAGGGAGGAGGGCTGGCACCCGAGCGCCGCGAGTCGGTGCAATAAAAATGCATCCCCGGGCGCTGCCCAAGGGGAAGGACCGGACCGCGGCGCGGCGGCCTGAGGAGGTGGTGCGCGCGGAGGAGGACGCCCCGGAGGCGGCGGCGGCGGCCGGGAAGTGAAAGGTCTTGCCGAGGTCGGCGGCGGGCGCAGGAGCCCAGGGCGCTCGGCGGGAGCGCGGCCGGCCGGCTATGGTCCCGGGGCTCCCGCCGCCCCCGAGGTGCCCCGGCCCCGCCAGGCCGGCGCGCGAGCGTCACCCCGCCGCCCAGTGACCGAGGACGCGGGAGCCCGGCCCGGCCATGGGGGGCTGCGCGCGGCTGCTGCTGCTCTGGGGCTGCTCGGCGCTGGCCGCAGGTGCGTGGGGATGAGCGGGCCCAGTCGCCGCTCCTCCCACGGGGCTCGGGCGCGGGGCGCAGGGGCAGAGCTGGGACCCGGGGTGGACCGAGTGGCCATGCTGCCCCCCTTTCCCGGGGCTCCGCACTTTCTGATCCGGCGGATTCTTTTCTTTCTTTTCTTTTTCCCACCGAGATGCACTTGCCCTCGGATGACCCGATCTCCTGGGTGCACCCCTGCCGGAGCCACCGCGGCCAGGGCGTCTTTCTCGGTGTGGCTCGTTGCAGAACTGCCTTTCCCCTTGGTGAGGGAACAAAGGACCCGGCTCGCCGTCCCCGGCACTTCTTGGCCTGAGGAGCGACGGGGAGGGGTGGTCTGGCGACCCCGGGCGCGCGTGGGCCGGGACGGCCGCTCCCCGAGAGCGATCCCCGACCTCCCCGACCCCGCGCCGGGCTCCGGGGCGCCAGGTAGGGCTACCTGGGCGGGCGGGCGGGCGCCTTCCCGGGGCATGGCCGCACGCTGTGGGACTCTGGCCGCGACGGCAGGCGGGGGCCTCCCGGGCGTCTGGCCGCCCCGGGAACTGGTACCCGGGCCGGGCGCCGCGGAGGGCGGAGGCGGGTCCGCGCCCGATCGCGGTAACCGGACGGGCGGCGGAGGCGTCGTCAGATGCCCGCTGCTTCGCGCTCCCGCCCTGGCTTCCTCGGACTGCCCTCTGCCACCGGTTCGCTGTTTCTCAATTCGGGAGCCCCTTCTGCTCCCAGGCCTCCACTGTGCGGGTCACCTGGCTCCCAGTTAGGCAAAAATGTAGCTCTGTGGGCGAAGGAGGAAGAAAGCGAGGGCGCTGAAGCTCTCTCCGAAGAGCTCGCCTCCTCCAGCAAGGGGTGTGTGTTTAGAGGCCAGTCGGTCTGGCTTTGGTTTCTAATTCCACCAGGGAAACCCAGGCGTCAGAGCCTGCATCCCAAAGCATCCGAGTCACAGGAGCATCCTTGCTGTACTTGGAGAATCACTTCTTTAGGGATCTCTAAGTACCTTATTATCAAACATTGTCTGAGCATACTAGTTTAGGAGTAGTTTCTAAATGTCTCACTATTTCTCCAAAGAGCTGTTAAAGGGCTACGATTTCACTTGAATTCTCCCTACTTATACACCACCCGTAGTGCACTAATGCACTCTCCTCAGGCAGGAAAATGGCCTTTAATAACCTCTTCCCTTTTCAAACCGTGTTATGGTAAAAACATGAGAGTGATCAGGAGCTTGTAAATAAATATTACAAGGCGAGTGTTTCAAGTCAAAAATACTTGTACAGGCAGTATACGATTTTCCCTGAAATGCCTTACAGGTGAGTCACAGCACACTGTGTGTTTGTGTGATTCTGACCACAAGCAACTGTTGCCCCCAGCTAATCAGAACAATGACAAATAGAATCCAGGCATCCTGCAAGCTTTTTTAAAAAAAAAATAATGCCTAAGGAAGCCCTTGGCTTTGATTGCACGACTGTGTCCATCCGTGTGTGAAGGTCTCCATTCCGACCAAACTTGTCATCCAGCTCCTTCCAAGGAGGAAGTGGCAGTGATAGCTCGGATCTGCTCCCTCTGAACAGAGCAAAACTAAGCATTCAATTAGCCATTCAGTTTGGGGTTTGGCTTCCTTTTCCTTCTTTTCCTCTCTGTTTTAGCTCTTAAAATAGGTGATTTTGCTTAAGGTTTCCGTAATGAAAATGAGTCGTACTTAAAAGATTATGATATGAAGTCAGAATGCTAACAAGTGGATGATGTTTATCATTTCAAGTGATTTTGAAACATTAAGGCCTGTTGGCCGGGCATTTAGCTCAGTGGCTCTGGGCCTGCCTTGCAAGTGCGCAAGATCCTGAGTTTGATCCCTCTTACCAAAAACAAAAACAAACCAACAAAAGTGCTAAGGCCTGTTAGACCTCTGTTGGGGAGTAAGAGTATATTCTTTAAGAAGGTGTTTTGGTTCTCAGACAGTGGCTAAGGGTGGTGAGAGCTGCTGCCAGACTGTAAACATCCTCCTCTTAAGCAAACAGGTAACTACTGTACAGGCTGTCCTAGTAGGTGCACCCGAGAGGCAGGGAGCATGGGAAACAAGCTCTTCCATCATTTGGCAGTTTAGAGGTGGCTCTTTCGTACTTAATATTAGAAATGGAGATTGCATGTGTGAGATCCTATGCCTTTAGCTTTGCCTCCCTAATGAAGTCCCATTGTATATTTTCTAAATATCTCATACTACTTTCCTAGTGAACTTACCTCTTCGTTAGCTTAAAAATACAAAGAAAATAGAATTCTACATTTCCAACTGAATACATTCTCATAATAAACATGTTAGATAATCTAAGGACTCAACTTATATTTGAAAATTTTAATTAGGTATTTAAAAAAATTTTGGCTATGATTTGTGAACTTCAAAAACATATTTCAAAAACAGAATGTTTATAAAGCAAAGTACTTGAAGCTATTGTGCCAATATTCTTCACCCCAATGTGTGGATATTCTGTCCCTCATCCTTGAATTGAAGTGTTTTTTTTCCTCTTATGTGACTTTTACATCCAAACATAAGAAATAAAATACACATACTCAACAGACACAAATGCACTGTGAATGCAGAAGTGTTTGCAATCAAACATGCTAGAATTTCCTCATTATGGAAAGTCTCAAGCTCTTTGCAGATACTTTACTGGTGTAGGTGGCCCAGGCAGAGAGAAGAGCTTTCTCCGTGGCTTTGCCCTAAATAATGACATTCGCTTTCCCCTCCGTAGGCCTGAGCGGAGTAGCTGGAATGAGTTCCCGCTGTGAAAAAGCCTGCAACCCTCGCATGGGAAATTTGGCTCTAGGGAGAAAACTCTGGGCAGACAGCACCTGTGGTGAGAACGGCACTGAACTGTACTGCTTCTACAGCGAGAACGCCGATGGCACTTGCAGGCAGCCCAAGTGTGACAAGTGCAATGCGGCCCACCCTCACCTGGCCCACCTGCCCTCTGCCATGGCCGACTCGTCTTTCAGGTTTCCCCGCACGTGGTGGCAGTCTGCAGAGGATGTGCACAGAGAGAAGATCCAGTTAGACCTGGAGGCTGAATTCTACTTCACTCACCTAATTATGGTGTTCAAGTCCCCCAGGCCAGCAGCCATGGTGCTGGACCGGTCCCAGGACTTTGGAAAGACATGGAAGCCTTACAAGTACTTTGCCACTAACTGCTCAGCTACCTTCGGCCTGGAAGACGATGTTGTCAAGAAGGGAGCTCTTTGCACCTCTAGATACTCCAGTCCTTTTCCGTGCACGGGAGGCGAGGTAAGAGCATCTGTCTCACTGTGCACTGTGAGTAAAGTGAGGCAGAAAAATGTTACCAGCCCACATTTTTTAAAAGCATGAAGCTATACTTGTAGCAACATGAAGGAGATTAGAATTTTTCATGAGCTTTATTTGTCGTAAATTATCTCTCACCCTTAGACATGGATGTGTAGTCATTTGCAAGCAGTTTGCCCACTGGCTGGGTTTAAGTCAGAATTCTAAGATTCTAAGTTTTTTTCCATTTTGAGAAAGAGTAAACACACATCATCCTCAACTTTAGAAGTTTCAAAGGCTACTGAATTCTTCAGTTAACAGCATCACTCGTGTTTCTGAGGGTGAAGAGACAGCCCGTTCTTCCAGCCCCTCCTGGTATCTTCCTGATATTGTTAACATAAATAGGAAATAAATAAAAGCAAAGCCAACAGACAAACAAAGTCTGTCAGAAGGATACTTTTGTGTGACACTGGAGTTTTATCATTAAGATACCAAAAGTGCATAGCAAACAAATGAAGGTAAGTTTCTTTTAAGACAAAAGGTTCCTTTGGGTTCACAGAGACATCTGTTCTGATTTAGGAACTTAGTTCTATCCTAGGTCTAAGACCAGCTCAAATTTATTCTGCAAAACAGCCTCTTTAGCTACTGGTCCAATTTCCGTATGGAATGTTTTCTCTTTGTTTAACATATTCCTTTCCCTTATGGGAAACAAATCTTTTTAACTTAGGTAAAGGTACCTAGGAAGGTTCCCCCAGATACATGAGACCATTCACAGAAGGCTGAGTAAAAGCAGAGTAAAGAGACTGCAATACCTACAATAAATGAATCAAGAAATATCAATTCAGAAACAAAGGAGAACAGGTGGTATTATCGTTCTGATTCTTGTGCATACCATGAATCTGTAGACTAAGTGCTTCCTGACGAAGGGTGATTTCACATCCTCCTACCAAGAGACATTGAGACATTTGGCAAAGTCTGGAAACATTTTGGGGTGGGGAAGGACATCATTGGGATCTACTAGGTAGAAGTCAGGGAGGGACCCTACTAAATCTCAGAAAGTATTCCCTCCCCTACTCCCAGCAAAGAATTACCTAGCTCAATATGTCAGTAGTACCAAGGTTGAGAAAGGGAGGACTAAACTGTTAGGTATAAACACAATACACCTAGTAGAATAACTACAGACACTGCAGCATGCCCCTGCTAGCAACCACCTGTGTTTTTAATGAGCATCTGTTGAATCCTTGCTGTGTGTCAGGCGCTGAACTCAGTGCTTCGAAGTCTGTCTGTGGGTTAGTGGTGGACAGTGCTCACCAGGGGCCTGAGAACAGGTTGGTGGGGAAACTTCTTCCCACTCCCATTGCCACCTACAGATGTTACCACATTGTGAGCTGCATGTTCTTGTGCATGCTGCCAGCACCATGGTCGCTAGAGTCTGCTCAATGTCACAAGCCCATCTGTCCCCTGCCGTGATGGACATTTTTAAAGATACCAGGGCAGGAAAGAGACAGGCAAGTTAGCCTCGTTGTTTCCTTGTGTGGAGAACACTGTCGACACAGATGCATGCCTTGAACTCACAGATTGCCTTGGAATAAATCCACAGAATCCCATCCACTCACTACACCTCATTGCTACCAGTTGTGTGCAGCTAGGAAGTAGCAACATACAGTTCCAGTAAGCAGATGGCAGCCATACATGCTCAGCAAGAATCACATTGAATTTATTACAGCAGTCCAGAAATTAATTAGAGATGATGAAAGTAACACTTGTCTAACCTACAGTGGAAACCAAATCTGTTTTCTTTAAACTACTTACTGTCACCAGTGCTTATATCAAATTGCAAGCAAACAGAAACTAAACTTTACATCCCACCAAGCACAACTTAATTCCCCCTTACAGCATTGTTTCAAGGGTACTTTAGTCCATCATAGAATTCCCTTCCTTTGGAGGACACAGGTTTGGGAACTAATCTTTCCCTTCTGAGTTAGAGCATGGAATAGGGCCTCGCCCATGCTAGCCAAGTGCTTTACCCACTGAGCTATACCACAAACCCCAGAAGAGCGCTTTTCAAACCAAAGTTGGACCTGCTACACAGACTTCCTAACCTGGCCAGCAGTTTCAAAGACTAGGGTATGGTTTTGTCCTAAACGGGGTCTCCTTCCCCGGAGACAAGAGTATGGTTCAGAGCTAAGGTGATTTGCCCAGCAACATCTGGTGAACTCTGCGACAGAGCAAGGAACAAGTCCCAGGTTTTCTGACCCAGAGTCTAGTATTTGTTCCATGAAACTCAGTTCTCCCTCTGTAAAGGGAACTGCTGAACTACTGGCAGACAGCCATGTGCGCGCGGTCTCTCCAGGCCATTGGCTGTAACTCATTTAGGTGTAATGCAAAGATGAAAAAGAATCTTCCAAGCAGGCCTCCCCTGAGAAGTTGGGTCTTCTAAGACGTCACTGGGCATCTAGGATTAAAGGGTCCAGTCATCAGAGTAGGCTGGAAACACTGACTGGTATCTTAGTCTGTTTTCTGCTGCTGTACCACGATCCCTGAGCCTGAGGAATGTATGAGGAAGTCTATTTGGCTCATAGTTCTGGAGGCTGGGAAGCCCAAGAGCATGGTGCCAGGATCTGCTCCGCATCTGGTGAGGGCCTTTTTACTGCATCCTACGGTAGCAAGGATGTCACCTGTGAGCCAGAGTGAGCTCGGTTCCTGGAGGCTCTCCCCCACTGCCATACTGTATCAGTGCCATCATCCTCCCAGAGTCATCATCTCCAAGCACTTTGAGCAGATCCATCTGAGGATGAAGTTGGCAACACATGAACTTTTTTTTTTTGAGACAGGGTCTCACTATGTAGTTCAGGCTGGTCTTGAACTCACGGCGATCCTCCTGCCTCAGCCTTCAGAATACTGGGATTACAGGCATACACCACCACTCCCAGGCAACACATGAACTTTCAGAGGACACATCCAAACTGCAGTAACCGGGCTTAACAAAGTTGGACATTCATAAATACACGAATGGACTTGTTATTCACCATGTACCCCAAGTGGGAGATGTAGGTAGTGTCGCTGCAAACTCACTAGGCCATGGGGCCCTCTTCTTGAAGACTCTGTCACCCTCCTTCAGGACCCTACAGATCCACAAAGCACAAGTGCTCCCCAAGCCCTGGCACAAAGCACAGACGGGCCTAGGGCTCAGCAGGGGTTGATTTCAAGACTCTCTTTCCTTTGGAGGCTTAGCCTTCTATTTTGGAGGAGAAGTAGATAATAATAACCTTGAAGCTAAAGGTGATGGATTAATTACACTCTTTTGGAATCCAAAGATGCACCCTCAGGTCACCTCTGAGAACAGAAAACACAGGCAAGCGGGGAGACACAGCTAGCTACTTTAGGCCCCATGCAGTCAGGCCTGGCAGAGCTGGAATTTTGGTCAACACCATTCAGGAAGCAACATCTGCTTGGTGACCCAAAGCAACTGTCCAGTGATGTAGACAGCATCTCCAGGGAAGGGAGAAACACTTGCTCCAGAGCTCTACAAGTTGGAGAGCAACCAGTGCAACCGCAGAGTTCTTCCTGGGGCATGACAAATATCTATAGCTTTGAAAGGGAGGGCTGTAAAGTCAGAGACAGTGGTAAGGAAAGCCAAGAACCAAGGGAGTCGCTGAGTCCCCAAGCAACCCTTGAATGGATGGGATTGTTCCAAAGGGGAGGGGTTGTGTCATCCCCAGAATTTACCACTTACTTGGCTCAATAAATCTATAAATCTATAACTGAATAAATCTCTAACTGTCAATAAATCTATAAATGGATGGATGGATGATATAACAAGCGGGGACTTGGTATTAGAAGATCCTTAAATGGCAGAGAGGGAGAAATGAATGAGCCGTATGTAGGAGATAAGACTCAGAAATTCTGGTTAACATGGGAATGCTGAGTTAGCAGTCATACAAGATAAGTTATGGTATGGAGAAGGGTACGTTAGTAAAGGATCTTAAACAATATTTATTCACCTATTCATTCCAATAATTTTTGAGCTATTATGTGTCAGATCCCATTCCAAGTACTAGGGCTATAGCAGTGAACCAAGCATATAAAAATCTCTGTCCTCATGAAACTTAGATTCTAAGTGGAGAACCAGAAGAATGGAGAGGCAGAGAGAGAGAGACAGAGAGAGAGAGAGAGAGAGAGAGAGAGAGAGAGAGAGCAAATAAAATATACAGTGTATCGGTGTGATCAATACTAAGGAGAAAGTGAAACAGGGCAGGGGCCAGAGAATACCCGCAGGGAAAGGTTTGCTATTATTAAAGCAGATTGAAGGATTTGTGATTAATAGGATGCTCATGTATCCAAACTATGACTTTAGTTTAAAGAAAATCTACAGAGTGATTCTCAGTTAAAATTATTTAAAGAAGCTATCTAATAATGAAAACAAACCCAGACATTCACTCAGTAAATGATTTTATATACTTACTATTTCAAAGGATAGATTTTTTTTTTCGTCCAAAACAAATTCTTCCTGGCTATTTTCTAGAAGCTTAGTTAGCATGTGTTTGCAATTGTTCTATTTGTATTCTGGAAACTTTGAGAGATCAGATTGTAAAATGTTGCGTTATTGTAATGACTGATTGACAATTAAGGCCTAACAGAGAAGAACAGAGGGGGACGGGCACCCGGAGGCAGGGGTACTTGGGCGTGTGGGGCAGCTCGAAGGGTGGAGAGCCCTAGGAGCCAGGTGGCGGCATGAGGGGTTGGGGTGCTCTGGAAGACAAGGATGACGAATAGCATCAGACCGCAGAGGAGCAGTTACTTCTGGGCAGCAGTCAGAAGTGTTGGAAACTCGGTGAGAATGGTCCCTCCCTCCTCTATCCTCCGTGCCACTCGAGTGTAGCTGTTACGTCACATCCCTATCTCTTTGTTCCCATGGAGCTGGCTCCCCGAAGGACACTGTCCTATTTATCATTGTGTTTGCTCTGTGGCTGCCAGCGCTCAGCCTCTGCGCTCGGCACAGATCC